CTGTATTTTTCATCAATGTCTAAGCAAGGACAAAGATCTACATGTGAAGGCTTGATGTTGATTATCTCTACATAATCCATGCAGATCTAGAGTACTGTGAATGTTAAATGTTGATTTACATATATAAATGACCAAAATACTTTAAAACTGATACCTTGCCCCAGAAGAGAGCCATTCAAATAGCTATCTATCTCAGATCAAGTATTTCCAGATTTATCATATCTTTCAGTTCTGCAACAAAGGAGAAATTGGGAAAAGCTAGAAAATGAATGTGGCGCGGTGATTTTACTTTCTCTAAAGATTGCATTTAATATTGATGGAGACTTTACTGGAAAAACAAACCTTTCATTGGAAAACGACTTTCAAAATTAAAATGATGGAGAATCAAACACATGACAATACAGAATGAGTTAACAAAAAGAACTTTCAATGAAAAAAATAGCTATGGTTCGATGAGAACCTGGAAATGAAGGATAATTGATTTGATAGCCATGCAATCCTGTAGTCATCAAGAAAATGATATGTAACAGTTGAAACCAATATAAGTGAAACAAGTAAACAACAGCTTAAGGGTCAGAAAAATGGAAGACTTACTTTCCCTGAGGATTCTGCAGAATCAGGTACATTTTTATCATTGTACTGTTCTGTGTAGTTTGTCTGAATTTCTCTCTCGTAATACTAAGCTTGTCCCACGGAATCCCCTGGATGTTTTTCCCTTTCCGGGGTTGATCAGTTATTTTATGATTCTGAAATCAAAGAACCCACACAAGTTGCAAACAAACAAAAAGACTTATGAACCAATTTTAGCTATACATTCAATACATGCATTTAAAAAATGCAGAAACCAATTTACATTAGCCTTCTTATAGGCATACTCACAGAGTGATCCGATAAACCTGTCCCCACYAAACTCTTCGCCTAACTCTTCTGTTTCATCATCTACATCGTACATGCTATCAGCATCCTTTGCTTGGTATTAACTGGGGATTTTTAATAAAGAGGCACCTGCAATGTAGAAAAACACCTTTATTACTGAACTCTGAAAGCAAAGGACCACAAAAGCTAAAATAGTAGAATCTAGTGTAACAAGAAACTTAATATTCCTACTCACAACGATGATCAATAATGTATAATGACACCATCGTAGATGAGAGTGCAGGAGACCATAATTCTATGTGCATATTGCTTGAAATGCAATCTAAGACAATCCGTAGTCAAGACAACATTCAGAGAGTAACAATATCTAACAATCAAAGCCCTTAAGAAATTACGATCAAACATGCAAGCCTTCACAAAAATTAAAGATTTGAAATTGAACTTTATCCCACGCGAAATGAACCAAACAACCCCTAATTCAGCTCCGACAAATTATAAGTTCATAAGGATCACAGAGTGTATCAAATTTCCACTCCTCAAGAGCAACAAAAAAATTGTTAAATTCCCTAATAGGATTTCCACAAACGTTAGCCAGAGATATATAGACACCCAGCTGCAAAAAAGAAAACATCAACAAGCATACAGATGCAGAGGAAAAAGCGTACTTTTAAGAGTCAACACATCACGCTTCAAAAGAAACTTCACTGGTTCGTTCATAGGCTTGGATTTCATCTCCAAAATCTTGTGAGGAAGAGTTGCAGAAACCAGGCAAACCTATCATCATAGGTTATTAGGTTAGAAATATTATATAATGGAATTCAGCTAGTCATAATACAATTAATATTCAAACCTAATAACCACATGGAACATTCAAGCAACTCAACAGTGGGCTAAAAGGTCCTTTAACAAATTAAAATTCTACAGTATAAGCAGCCAATCCATCAAATAAGATTCTAAGAACGCAAATGCAATAACAGGAAGAAAAAAAAACTGAGTTAAGCAACAAAGCAGTGAAATCAGACCTGAAGATTGAGTGCAAGATATCTGTAAACATCATAGAATTGTTCCTTGAACCATCTGCTCAGCATTTCATATGATTCATCAAGAATCAGAAGTTTAATGGCTCTGGGACATAGACTTCTCCTTTTTATCATGTCATAGACATGACCCGGTGACCAAGACACAACATGGACACCATGCTCTAGCGTCCAGATGTCCTCTCCAACGCTCTTCCCACAGATGCATGCATGTGCCTGAATATTGGTGTGTAATCCAATAGCTTGAATTGTCTTATCTGTTTGTGAAGCCAGCTTCTCTTGATGTCAAGGCAAGAAACCTGCATTAGGAAAAAAAAACCAAATGAATGAGTAAACCAATAAAGAGATATTGCAGCCTAAAAGCAAGTACTTTCGAAAAGCCAGAATAGTTATCACATCTATTCGAAAAGAAATTCTATTGTATATCATTTCGAAATAACTTTCTATAAGTCGGATGAAAGTCAATTTGACATGACACCAAATATAAGGAACTATACTAAAGCTATCAACCTTTTCTCATTCCATAGAGGTATCCTTGAACAAAAAACAATGTTGCAAACTTAGCTTGGATGACTACTCCTACATCAACTTTCTCTCGACACGCAATCAAGAATCTAAGTTACACGTTCTACCAAAATCTTCATGTATAGAACAAGAAGATATTCAACAAGATATTACCACCGAGCGTTACAAAAGCATTGGATGGAGAGGCAATGGAAGGAGAAGGACTCACCAGCGTGTTGGGAGAGAATCTAACGAAGGAAAGAGGAGGATTCTCATCGTCGATTAGGGTTTTCACACAATGTCCACTCCCTTCCCTGTATCACATATGCGGCACAAGCCACTGTGGCTAATCGAAACAATGAGAGACCCAAATCCACGGCGGGAAGAACTTTTTGGCTTTCGCATCCCAGATCTGAAGAGTTTCGTCCAAGGAAACAGAGTCAATCATACTGGATTGAGGATTGAAGGCGTAATCCGGTGAGGCGATAAACCTCGCGGCTGAGAGAAGATAACAACGGAAATGCTGTTCTCGTGGCCGGTGAACACTCGTACGGAATCGGAGATCAAATCCCCGTCGAAATTGATAGCGTAATTGGGGATTATCTTCTTGTCCGCGGAGGCGGAAGCGAGAATTTCACGGGGAAGACGGAGCGGAGCGACCGTGAGAAATTAGGGTTTAGGAGTGAAAGATGATGTTGCTGGAACTTTCTCTGCCATGGGTGATTGAAATTCGTGGGTTGAATTTGGCTGATTAGGGTTTTGGAAAAGGGGCTCTGTTCAAGGAAGAGAGACGATCGCTCTTGGCACAAATTGTGGGCTATATTGAATTTGAAACTAATTCATTAATAATTATATTTGCGTATCTTTCAAGTTTTCGTAATCTCACGTGCTTTCAAACTGAAACCCTCAGATTAAGTTGGAGTTTGAAATATTTCAATAGCTAATTCGGAGTTTGAAATATTTCAATTGCTAATTCTTTCTTCCTCCACCGCAAAAGCTTCAGAAATTATGAGTATAGGTTTTGTTTAAAGTTAAGCTTCAAATCAATGATTTAGTATAGGTTTTGTTTAAAGTTAAGCTTCAAATCAATGATTTAAAATCAAATTAAACATTGATTTATATAGGCAAGTTTATTAGCGATTTTCATTACATTTTCGGTTTACGTGGACCAGTTGACACTTACAAATCAATTGATCAAATGAAAGATATCATTGATAATAGTAATCATTGCTACTTTTGATTTTAAAAGACCACATATTTCTCTTCCATGAAATACTTCACTCTCTTTGTTATCTACAAGAGATCTCA